CTTCCTTCTTTCTACTCCCGCGTCGGTTATTTCCACCGCGAGGAGGAGTCGAATCGGAGAGAGGCACAGTAATCAGCCCAGGCCTTGCATTTGGCAAGGAGGACTGTTTGTCTACACCTGGCGTCCGCCCTGCGGAAGGTCTGCCGCTGCAGTGGAGTAGGGTGGCGCCGCCACGAATTCCACGCACGTCGCCGGTCCAATACTGCCTGCCGACATTCAGGAGTCCACCACGGTGCCCCACGGCGGGAAGGATTGGTTGTCTGGCCACTAGTCCTCCTGAAATGCCGAGAGCCTACACTGAAGAGGGACTCGGAGAGAGCATCTGCTGACCCATGGAGATCTGCAGTAACTGGGGGAAGGGTCAACCAGTCATCTGCCTCATAGCCATGCCACCCCCTCTTCCGATAAGATCCATTTGGATCTACGGGAGGTCAGAGCAGGACGAACAGTGCCCCCGAAGGAGATGACGATGGGCAGGTGATCACTATCCAGGTACGGCCCGGTCCATATCTGCGCCATCGTGAAGGGGCCTCTTCCAATGCAAAGATCGAGTGTTGAAGTATGGCCATTTAGCGGGTCTATCCGAGTTCCCAAACCTGGCGGCGTCAGTAAGGAGAGGTCTGGGGAGTCAAGGAGAAATTGAAATAGGGCTCGGCCAGCCATGTTGTGGTGGCGACCCGATAGCATGGGTTGCCATGATGAGTGCCGAGCGTTAAAGTCACCCATGACGAGGCAGGTGTCTGTGATCTGACCAAAATAGTGTTCTAGTTCCTTAATCGTTACCGGTAGACAGGGGTTATACAGAACTCCAAAGGTGTCCCACCCATGGGAGAGGGCGACCTTCACTGCCATGAATTCTAAATGTCCACCCGGGAAGGAGTGAATCCGGAGCAAGGAACTGAGTCCCTGACCAAGAGGGCAAGTCCCCCCTCCACCCCGTACTGGCCGATCTTGTCTATAGACAGAATATCCGGGCACTGTGAAGGAAAGATCGTCTGTAAGCCAAGTCTCACAGAGTCCCACAATCAACGGTGGTGCGCTGGCGATAAAATTGCGTAGAAATTGCGTCTTCTTAAAAAAGGAGCGGGCATTCCAAAACACCACAGTATTCTCAGGATGGGGCGCCATTATCCCTGAAATACAACAGCTAACTTTTTGACCACCAGTGCACAGACGTCTCCAAAGGGGGAACCACTAGAAAAAGCCATAAAACCCTCATACAAAGTAAGTAAAATGTGTGGTATCAATGACTTCCAGTCAAGAGGATGTTGATCTATGCTTCTCTCTGCCTGACGGAAGCGGTGGTCGGCTCGCGAACTCTCTTGACGGCGTCTGCGACTGGTGGGAGCCTCACTCTGGTCCTCATGTTCCCCTGGTGTCACAATCCCTTGGGAAAGTGCCTGGGGGACCAGAGGATCATCAGGGCTGTCTGTTGGAGCAGTAACTCCTGATCGATGGGTGTGTCGACGACGCCGGTGTTGGCTTCTTTGAGGAAAGGCAGGAGGGTGACGAGTGCTAGGCTCCGGCCGAGACTGAGCGTCCATGTCTGTATCCGTGGATGAGTTTCCGTCAATGTCAAGGCTACCCAGGAGGGAAAATCGATTAGCAACCTGGGCGTATGTGGCATGTGACTGGGACAGGCAAGAGCGTCTGCTAGTTCCTACTTGTGAAGAGGCCCGACCAGGGGGAACCTGGAGGCGAGAAGAAGCGATAGGCTGATTGAGGGTGCGCAACTTCTGCAACAGCTCATGTCGAGGTGTCCCCGCTGTTTTATGATCGATGTCCAACTGGAGGGCCTCAAGATATACAGGGCAACTCTTAGGCGTAACCTTATGATGGCCATGGCATAAAAAGCAGCGAGGTGCAGCAGAGCACCCACCGTTATCTCTGTCTGAATGGCCTGTTTTGCCGCAGTTTGCACAACGTGCTGCATTGATGCATTGCATCAATATACTTAGCCCTTGTCAATATGGCTTCAGACCCAAAAAAAGCACTAACGATGCACTTATTAGTATGCTTAACTCGATTCATACAGCTCTTGATAAAAATGAGTTCCCTGTTGGGTTATTTGTGGACCTGCGTAAAGCTTTTGATACTGTCAACCACCAAAACCTTCTTAAATTACATCATTATGGAGTCAGAGGACACTCCCTACAATACCTCAAATCCTACCTTACTGACAGGCTCCAATATGTTTCTGTGAATAATACAATTTCTCCCACCCTACCCATCAACATTGGTGTTCCTCAGGGCAGCATACTTGGCCCTCTCCTCTTTCTCATCTACATTAATGACCTTCCAAATGCCTCCCAACACCTCAAACCAATTCTATTTGCTGACGACACAACCTTCATTTACTCCAGTCCTGACCCCCTTGCTCTAAATGCCACAGTAAATACTGAGCTAAATAAAGTCCATCTTTGGCTATAACTGCCAACAAACTCACCTTTAACATTGACAAAACTTTCTATATTCTGTTTGGCAATAAATCCTCTAATCAAATAAATCTCAAAATAAACAATACCCAAATTTGTAACAAATTAGATGGCAAATTCCTTGGCATTCTCATTGACCACAAGCTGAATTTCCAGGGACACATTCTAAATATATGAAAAAAAGTTTCAAAAACTGTGGGCATTCTTTCTAAGATCAGATATTATGTACCACGCCCTGCCCTGGTGACTCTCTATTACTCCCTTATCTATCCATATCTCAACTATGGTATTTGTGCTTGGGGCTCTACTACCCAAAATCACTTACGTCCTCTAATTACTCTACACAAAGCTGCTATTAGGACAATATCCAACTCTGGCCCCAGACATCACTCGGTACCCCTACTCAAATCTTTGAATATGTTAGACATTAAGTCACTGCACATTCTCTCATGTGTATTATACATATATAAAACGCTAAACTATAATGCCAATCCTGATCTCAAAAGCTTCATAGAAGGTTGTAACAGAACCCATGAGCACCACAACAGAAATAAATACAGTTTTGATATTCCTAGAGTACGACTTAATCAAACTAGAAATGCTCTACTAATCAAGGGGCCCAGAATGTGGAATGACCTTCCCAACCATGTTAAAGACTGTACCTCTCTCAACCAATTTAAGTTAAAAACGAAGCTATACCTAATAAGTTCCCTGTAACCTACCTTACCCCTCTATTGTCAACCAATGTCTGTTTTTTTTTTTTAAGTGCTGTTTGTCGACATAATTGTATTTGTGCTGCTTTTTCATCTATGTTTTCATTGCTTGTTTTCATTCTACTCATTATGCTCAATTAGTATTAAGCTTGTCATTTAAGTTTATCATGCCCGAAACGCTTTGCGTAATAGTGGCTTTAGGCATTGTATGTACTAGCTCTACCTATAAGTCAACCAATCTTTGTAAAAATTTATTGTATGTATGTACCTTACCTAAATAAACATTTTATTTTTTATTTTTTTTTCATTACGGCAGGTCAGGCGACTGTGGCCCAATAGATGACAAGCGTAACATCGTAACACAGGGAAATTGTAGGGCTGAACCTGATACGAGGTCCTGTGTAGTGCCACTCGGTCAGGGAGGTGCCCATCGAACTTTACACGGACCATGGATGTCGGTCCTGCTGCTCCGCGAATCCTGGTAATTTCCAATAATCTCGCTGATGCACCCCCTAATACCTGCAGAGCGGCCTGAATGTCATCCACATCTACACTCTGGTCAATTGGGCCAATCTTCCCATACCGGGCCCGAGACTCCTCCTCCTGCGACAATACCTGTCGGCACCTGACAGGCCAGTCCCCCAACTTAATAATGTCGGATACACAGATGTGTGATAGAGCCTCCTTTCTGATATGTAGCTTCAGTGCTGCACCCCTACCCAGGGTACGTATGGTCTCAGGCAGGCAATGTGGCCACAATACGGAAGCCTCGATTGCTGCACCTAATAGGTACTAGGATTTGCAAAGACGCACTGACCTGATTCTGACTGGATTAGGACTATCACAAACGAGGAATGGGGTACCACAAGACTAAGGTCTTCTGAAGGGGAAGACATCCTCTTAGCATCTCGCTCTGGGGCAGCATCAGCCGACTCATTTTCCAGCAGACGTTTTCCTCTCTGGGACTTGCTGTCAACATCCATGGCGCCCCCGCTCGGGGAGGCGTCCATTAGGGAGGCTCCGGCCTCCCCCGGTCCTGTGAGCCCCTGGGTAGCTGCAGTGAGCACACACTGGCCCAAAGAAGCCAGCTGAATTCAAAGATGAGTTCCAGGTAAGGTGTGGAAAGTAAGTCCAGCCAGGAGCGTTCAATCTTCAGGGAATTGTATGTACTAGCTCTATCTACAAAGCCAACAAACTTTGTCAAATCTCTTTATGTATGTACCTTACCTAAATAAAATTATTATTATTATTATTATTATAATCCGCGCGCCAAGATGGCCGACCTTCGGGCGGGAATCTCGTGTTTTATATTGTTCTCACCTGCCCGAAACGCTTTGCATAATAGTGGCTTTAGGCATTGTATGTACTAGCTCTATCTATAAATATGTCAATTTTTGTAAAATCTCTTGTATGTATGTACTTTACCTGAATAAACATTTATTTATTTATTTATTTATTTATTTATTTATTTATTTATTTATTTGTTCTCTGGAATTCTTATTGTATCTGGTTCCCTGAAGATTTCATTTTGTACAAACACACTTTGGAACTTTTCGTTTAATGTTTCACACATTTCCTTTTCATTTTCCGTGAATTTATTTCCCATTTTCAACCTCTGAATATTATCCTTTACCTGAAATTTATTGTTTATGAATTTATAGAATAGACCTGGTTCTGTTTTACATTTGTCTGCAATCCCTTGCAGACAATGTGTACAGATCTCCAAACTTGATACATTAACTGTAAGTGACCTTATCATCCTTAATTGCTCTCGACTTTTTAAGTTGCATATTTGTGGCACTGGCATATTTCGATCTTTCCAAATTGTTTTAGAAACGTGCGATGCGTGGACGCTTTAAGTTTAGAGTTTAGAGGCGAGAGTGAGAGAGGTGTTGTGAACGCCCCCGACGGCAGCGGGAGGCTGCAACCAGCGTAAACAACCCGCTCACCAGCCTCAAGCTGCTGACATCAACAATGGCAACCGACAGTGAGAGAATAGACACGGCCAGGGTTCAAGCACACGTGGAGGACCTGGTGATGAAGATACAGGAGGAGGTTGAGGGACTACAAGTGGATGTAGGAGAGAGCGGCGAGAGCCTGGCAAGGAAGGCGGGCGGGCCCCTGCAGGAGGACGTGGGCATCATGCTGGCCACCAAGATGCACCTCCAGAGTGAGATTGAAGCTATGATGCAGTCAGGTGTTGTGCAGTTACCAGAGGACACTCACCTGTTGTTGAGGATGGCAAAGGAAGAAGCAGAAATTATGGCAATTACCAATGCACGGACTTTGGCTGCTTACAAACAAAAGGTAATAATATCAAATATCTAGTTGCTATGAAATTTGAAAATTTGTTACCTGAATTGAGCAATCTTAGGCTACCATGGCTGGTTGTTTTGTTTTGCCCACCTTTTTTGGTGGCATTTTCTTGGTTAAAATGATCTGGTATCCTCAGTTACAGCCCCGCTCCTGTGCCACGTAAGACCACAACAGGCTCACCTTAGCCCGTGGTACTTGAACCTTTTTGTTCCCAGTAGCTGAATCTTAAACAACAAACAACAACTCTGCTCCAGGGACTAGTTGTTACAGACACTAGATGATTCCACAAAGCTCGTTTTCTGCTCGTAAAAAGTGTATATATATTGTTACTGTATTAGCTTAGGTTGGGATGTATTGGGCTCAGTTGGGTAAGTTAGGTTGGTTGGGGGTTAGGGTAGGTTGGAGTAAGCTAGGTCAGGTTAATTAAGTAAGTTTCAAAATCTGCTGGCGAATCATCTTGTGTATTATGTGACTTGTATCCTCTGTTCCTTGTGCCTCTATAGAGTGCTAAATTTTGGCCTCTGGTCCCCAGTAGGCTTAACATGATTCACTAGAACCTGGAAGGGATCTATCAAGAGAAAGTGCCAAGCCACCACAACTATATAGCACAAGCCTAGTCTGAAGTGGATTGAATTGGATGGAGCTATCCAAGTTGCTAGCGAGAATGAGCCACCAAGGACCCACCAGAAGGAGGCATTTCGTAACATTCAATTCTGTTTTTTCCAATCCACAGTATTGTACTACTGACACTCTCCATTTCTTTTTCTCCATTATATATCTGCATATACAGCATCGGTAGCTTTCCATGTTTGAGCTTCAATGACATACTCACCTCTTTCATAGATATATCAGCTGGCAAGCAATCTTGCTTTCTTCTCAGAACAAAGGTTCCTTATATGTTTATGATAGATCCCTGTGTGTGATAGTTCTCTCAACAAATCTAATAAAATCACATTTACACTAGAACATCTTTCATCATTTTAATCTTTTAAAATTTCAAAGTATTTTTATCTCCTAAATGGTTGTGATGTGTCAAAGAGTGCATCGCAAGTTTTTTTGGTGAAGGGTGAAATGGAGCGCATGGCACTAGGCATTAATTTACATTGTCAAGCGCCTGGCGCTTGACAACTATTTAAGTCAGTGGGGCACGCCAAACAGCCCACTCACTTGCCACGCACATCCACGCCAAGTGCTCCTTGTCAAAAACAACTTTATTATGGTCAATTCATATATGCTTGCCACGACTTCTGTTAATCTGGGTCTTTATACGCATGTATAAACATTCATTACGCATTCTCTTATGTGGAACTCTGTCGAAAGCCTTTTTTTAGGTCCAGATAGATGCAGTCAACCCAACCATCTCTTTCCTGTAATATCTCTGTTGCTCGATCATAGAAACTGAGTAAATTCAATACACAGGATCTTCCAGATTGAAAACCATACTGTCTGTCTGATATTATATCATTTCTCTCCAGGTGTTCTACCCATTTAGTTTTAATTATTTTTTCCAATATTTTGACTATTACACTTGTCAATGATACAGGTCTATAATTAAGCGGGTCTTCTCTGCTTCCACTTTTGTAGATTGGAACTATGTTAGCCTTTTTCCACACATCAGCTATAACTCCTGTAAACAGGGATGCCTGAAAAATCAGGCAAAAAATCAGGCTGAAAAAGTGTGTGCACATGTGTATGTGCATACGCACGTGTGTGTAACATACCTTGTGTATGTAATATGTATATACAGTATATGATGTGTATCTTTTCTTTCGGAAGGGGCTCTGTTCCCTTCTCTGTTGACGTGGCGATGGGGGAGCAACTTGCTCTGTTGACTCTCGCATGGTCCCGCAGTTGGCGCTTTTGGATGTCTTCCGGCCTATGGTGGCGGCGGTGGACAGCTTCTCTCCCTTTGGGGGTCAGGGCTGGCGGGGTGGGCGTCTTCCCTTGTGCTTCGTCATGTCATCTTAGTGGGTGCGTTGGACGTGGTCGTTCAGCCCCATCCTTCTGGGGTTCCCGTCTGCTCTTTGCAGACATGGACCTGTCGAATCTGCGGTTCTTTTGGACTTCTTCAGTCTGCTCCCTGGATTCTATGCCCTCATCGAAGGACTGTTGTCTCCTGTCCGGCTTCTGTTGGGGCCGGGTGCCTGGATGGTGGCCCTGGGTCTCCAGGTCAATTCTTAGCACGTTCCTCTCCAGTTTTCCGGGACTGGCACAGTTGGTGGTGGGGCTTCAGGCTTGCCACTTTTGTTGCCTTCCCAATTTTGTAATTGGCATTTGGTGTATTTTTGCATCTCTACCAGATCTTGGTGTCCTGTCTGAGTCTGCTTGGGATTCGGTGTCTGGCCTACCTCGACAACTGGCTGGTGTGGTCTCCCAGTCGGTCCGCTTGTCTGCTCGCCAGGGGTGTGGTTCTGTCCAGATCGCCGGGTTTGGTTTCCTTGTGATCTGGAGGCCATTCCATATATTTCCGTCCTGGGTTCGGACCTGGCTGGGCCTTGTTTAGGTCTCTTGGGCCACTCCTTGTTTTTCCCTCCAGAAGTGTTGCTGCGGTTGTGGTCCCGACTTCGGCTGTTCATGAGGGGTCCCAGGTTGCTCAACTGTTGCTCGAGCAGTTGTGCAGGAGTCTGAACTTCGACATGCTGGTCTGCCCGCGGGGTCGGGTTTGGCTTTGTCGTTTGTTTGGTTCCTTCGGAGACTCCCCTGCCGCAAGAGGTGACCTTCAGGATGCGTTTGCATACAAGGTGTTTTTTCTTGTACACAATAAAAGTGTATTATCATATTACATACTGTACAGTATTATTACTCTACTAAAAATACTGTGTTATAGTTTTATTTACCTTATTGTTGGAGTATGTCCATCGTGAATTCTCATTGAGTTGTAAATACAGTACAGTAAATGCGTTTGGTACTGAATTATGCCGTTAGCACTGTATTGATTATGTAGTTCTGCTGTATGTTGAGTACTACAATGTAGTTTATGAAAACTATTGTACACTAAAATTACTGCAACTTCAATTTTAACACTTTAACACTGTACTTAACACTTTCGCGCTCCCAGTGAATGGAAAAAAAAACCTTTCCCCTTGTGTGCGCGGTGTTTCGAGCGCTTAAGCGGCAACACCGAAAAGTGTATACTCTTTTTCACTTTCCTGAAACTAATTGTCGGTTTACGTATTTCATTTTTGTATCAATGTGTTCGCAATAGAATTGTCTATAAGAACATACCTATAAAATGCAACCAAAGCATAAGGTAGATCACCACCAAATAAAGAACTACCTTTACTCAGATCACTAGCCGAGAGCGCCAAACAGCAACAAAATGTTTCTACTCTCTTCAGGGTTGTCAAGCCCACAGTTGTCCTACAGCATTAATTTTGGTATCACTGGTATAGCAATAAAATTCCCTACACGGACATACACATATAAATGTAGAATCACGGTCCCTGCTCACCCCCAAGAGTGTGGGAAGTGGGCGCGGTGTTACCCGTGAGCGCACAGGCGACGACACGTGGGAAACCTCGCTTTGAAAGTGTATTCTTTTATAACTGTCCTGACTTTAATTTTCGATGTACGTATTCCTTTTTTGTAGCAATGTGTTCACAATAGAATGCTCTAGAAGAACATACGTATAAAAATTCAACACAGCATAAGTTAGAACGACACCAAATATAAAACTACGTTGATCGATATGCGTGCGCGCCAAAAACGGACGAAATGTTTTTGTTAGTTTCGTTTGTCAAATTTAGACTTGTTGTATACCATTTTTATTTGTAGGACAGTGATTGCAATAAAATTCCCTACACAGACATATGCATATGAAATAAAAATATTGGGCAAGTATTGGCTGTATCAACGCCGAAAAATACCCCACTGCAACACGCCAGCCACACCCAGAACCACACCCGCCAAACCCGAAAAATACTATCTGATTTTTCCTGTTTATTCATAGAATTTTATGAGATATATTGTCCATTCTGGTATGAAAAAAATTGCAAATGAATGGTCTACAAAACGTATAAAATATAATATCTTATGATGAAAAATTATTCAAAATAGGTGTACTTACCAAGGCGATGCTGATGTTAGACTAACAGTTAAGCATTTTCTGGGGGGATGTCCCCGGAGCTATCCCAGGCTGATATGCTAATGTCAGACTTTGGCATCAGTCATGTGTATGGAGTTCTTAGGCCTACCGGGGACCACGGCCAGAACCGGGCCCCCTCAGAGAGGCAAGAGGAGCAATGGCCTATAGAAGCCCCGTGTGGTTGGAAGCATTCTATGTCTGCCTTCGATTGGAACAGGCACCCAGAAAGGTAAGCGCCTCAAAACAAACCCCTATTCTGGTGAAAATTGCTACAAAAAGCCGAACTAGTGGATAGAACTCCCCAACCGAAACAAGCAAACTAGTGTGACGTCGCACACCGCTGCGCCGCTGTCTGCGCAGCTCCCCCTCCCCGGGAGGGGGAAGGGGGTAGCCCCAGACCCCCCATGCCGGCTACCCACACCTCGGTTCTTGAGGCTGATGCTATAGGCGATGGTCGTGTGCTCTGGCTCCGGTGTCGCTACTGCACTGTGCTTTGTGTGTGGTGTTGGTTTTGTGGGTGCGAGAGCCAGGAGTTACCTTCAGTACTTGGGCTGTATGCGCCTAGGGCTGCCTTCCCTAGGTGCCCTTGGGGCTTGGGGCCACCTTCCACAGGCTCCTCGGGGTCTGCCTCTGCTGGTCCGTTTTACCTTTCGGTTTTTCGGCCGCCTGTTGGGCTCTTGGGTGTTCTATTCTCCCTTGTTACCGGCAGGTAAGAGGCAGTTTGCACTGGTAGGGGCGCAGGGTGCTGCACAGCTTGTATTCCCGACATCGCGGCCGGCTCTGTTCCTTGGGGTTCGCTGTCCTCTTGCGGGGTTTTGTTTTTCTTTTTGTTTTTGCCTGGTGGGGGGTTCTGTCATTTTATTCAGTTTGTTTTTGCCCTTCCACTGTTCTCCTCGGTGGCGCCCCC